TATTTTTTCAAAGCATCACCTTGGCTCTTAGTCGACTTAGCTTGAACAGGTACTAGGTAAAGTCTTGGGAAGAAAAGGTGGCCATTGATTACAAGTGCTCTATATATTTTACTATAAGGCCCGTCTCTGTGGCTGACTGAGAACATAGCTGAGTAATTCCGGCATACCAAATTCGATTCAGTTGCATATGATTCGGCAGCAGACCTTTTTTGCATTGATTTTGACAACAGCGTGAGCAGTATTATGATGAACACAATTGTAAAAGAAAATCAAACGAAGACCTTAGTTTGAGTAGCAGAAATCAGAAGTAATAGTAATTATAAAGAAATGCACCCTCTAAAAGGCAGCATGAAAGTTAGTGGGACAAACCTCAAGAAAATTTATGCGTTTAAATACATGGATACCATGATAGCAGCGGATGGAAGATACATTAAAACACGTAGAATAGTCAAGCAATGACAGCATTTTACAAAATGAAGAATCATTTTTTTTTTTTGGTTGTTGCTGAGACAAGAAAGAGAATACCCAAAAGCTGTATGAATTATATCCTGATATATAAAGTGAATCATGGACAGTGGGACGATTAGAGACAAAACTACTTGAAAGCGGAGGAAATGTTGTTTGTAAAGACCAATGTTGAGAATACCTTAGACAGATAAAAAAGAGTAATGACGATATCTTGTGAGATGCTGACTCATGATAAGGACTACTTGTCCTACACCAGACGTAGACAATCTCAGTTCTCTGGGCATGTCATAAGAAAGTGAAACCTTGTATATATGTTAACATAACATAACCCTTGACCCGTTAGGGTCGTAGAGGTGTATCAGTGGAAGAAAACTGTCTTTCGTTTGTTGAACTGGTGTGTAGTAATTTTCTTTCTACGGGTAAGTTTCTTGATGTTTTCAGTCCAGGTTCATCTTTGCCACAATCTTCTTCGACAACCCCCCCCCCCTTTTTTTTCCCCTTTCCAATATATCTTGAGGTATAGTCTTTGCCCTCGAATCATGTCTCAACACGTGTCTGAACCAACTAGCTTGCGACAGCTCACCACTGCCATAAAAGGTTTCTGCTGTCCTGCAAATGTTTAAATTGTGTCTCTTACATATTTTATAGTATGTTGTAAGTAGCTAATTCGTAGAATTCATCTATAGCATTTATATTCGAAAGCCTGAATCCTTTACGTTTCCGCATTAAGAGTCCAACTCTCACATCCGTATAAGAAGATAGGCAATACCAGTGATTTGTATATGCTGACCTCCACCACAATGCTGATTTTGCTCTTTCACTTTGTATTCAGCTGGAATAATGAGGCGGTTGCTATATCAATTCTTGTCCTGATTTCTTTTATATAACTGCTATTGTTATATATGTGGGAGCCGATGTGTTTAAAGGTATCAACTTCTTCTTGCTCCCCCCCAACCCCCCCCCCCCCACCCTTTTCCTCCTTTTATATGTACATTGGTAGGTAGATGGCTGATGTGACTATTTAGTTGTATCTTGCTTTCTCTCAGCATTAATTTCCATACCACATTACGACATAGCGACGTCCGTGGTTAAGGCGTTGCGAGTAAGACTCGTAATTCCAACGTATCGCGATGGAAAACCCACTGCTGGCTGCGTGGATTTTCGTCCTGGTATAGGGCGTCGCAAGTCGACCCAGCCTAAAATGGGTACCAGGATGTATGTCCTGGGGAAGTAAAGACGGTCAGCGTAATGCTGACCTCATTACCTAGTGCTGATGGTCTGTAAAATAAAAAATATAGGTGCTCTTCCCATATGCCTGACGCGCCTAAAGGCTTGAAAAAGGATCTTTAAATTTTTTAAAGTACATTACCGCATACTGTCTCTATTTTATAGTGAGTTATTGTAATTCTCCAAGCGATCAATGTCGTCCACGAAATGCAAATTACACAATGGTCTTTCACCAATGGATATAGATTGCTCCAGGATTTTGTAGTGATATATTGCAGGTACAAATTGAACACCGGGGATAATATACAGTCCTATTTCACTCCCACGCTGGTTTAGAAAAACGTGTCCACGTCATTTTGTATTAGTACTGCACTGCTTGCATCTTTATAAAGTGCTTCAAGGGTATCAGTGATGTTTTCATAGAAGTTAAAATGCCTCAATATTTACCAGAACCCAGCTTGGTGAAACCAACTAAGGTGTGGTGTAGGTCGCATTTATGTGTATTTTTTTTTCTACCATTACTCTAAGGTTTAAAGTTTGTTCTGTGGTGCTTTTATTTTTCCAGCAACACACCTGTTTTTCGGCTAGTATTTATTCAGACTTTGCTTTCAAACTGTTTAGAAAAATCTTTAACATTATTTTACTTTCGCGGGTGCAAGACTAATAGTTCTATAATTGTCACAGCTTTTAAGCTTTCCTTTCTTTGAAGGTGGTATCACCAACGACTGTGTATATTCAGTTGGCCATTTATTTGTGACCCAAATCCTCTGACACCCCTCTGTCATCACCTTAGTTTCAGAAGTTCAAATGGGACACAATCCACTCATGGTGATTCACCTTAGTGTATTGCGTATTTTCTTTCTCAATATTTAAATGTCGTCAATTTATGTATATATATATATATATATATATATATATATATATATATATATATATATATATATATATATATATATATATACACATATATATTTATATCTTCTTTCACCTCACCAGGACATCACACAAGCGATAAACACCCGATGACACAAAGTGCCACCATGTGGATGAGGATCACCCGTGGAGTGGTCCCAGAAACCACTTTCAGCCATTAGACCATATTTATAGCCGGGCTATATTGCGGCCCATGACAAAAGCCAGAGTAGGGTTTGAAATAGCGAAAAATTGCACCCCACCAGGAGATGACTAGATTATCGTCAATTTCCATATTTTCCCATACGAGGTCTGAGGCTGATGTGTCAGGTTGTGCTTCTTGATTACATGTCTTTACAATATTCCGTAGATCTCCCCAATATTTTTGTTTTCTCGTTAAGGAGTTGTCTGATTTCTTATCCTCTACTATGGGCATCTTGTGGTTCAATTAGTCTTTCTATGTGCTTGAGCTGCCTTGTTGTTGTCCTGCTTTCTATATCCTCTTCATGTCGCCGCTGAAACATAAGGCATTCACAAGTGATCTCCATTGCTGCTGTTTGTCCTGCTGCTTTTCTGCCTATGGTATCCCATGTCAGTTTACACTCCTTCATTTCCCGTTCTGTTGTCCTTCTCCAGGTTTCCTTAGGTCGTCCACGTCTCCTTTTCCCATCTGCTGTCCGCCGGAGAGCTGTTTCTGCCAGAAAGTCACAAGGCATTCTGCAAACATGTCCAAGTCATCTCACTTTGATAATATTTACCAGTGATGCACATTATGTTTCCCTCCTCAGATCTTCATTTGTGATCTTATTTGGCCAAAATATTCGTAGATGTCCTGCGTTAGACCTACATCATTATTCCTAATCCATTCTGCTTTCATCTTTTCAATTTCATCCTTATTTTTCTATTCACTATGTTGTATTGTTATTCTACTGCTGGAATTTGCATTTTCTCCTTTTCAATTTCCCGTCACCTATGGTTTAGGCGATATCTTCGTTTTACCTAAGATTTCTTCTGCTGCATTCAATGTCAGGTCGTTCGTGCTTATGCCAGTGAATTTATGTCTTTTTCTAGGAAATTTAAAACGGCAAACATTCCTCAAATAGTTGCTTTGGAGATCACTGCCATTTCCGGATTCTTCAGTTTCTTTTAATCTGGAACAAATCTCAATCGCGTACAGCTATTAACATGGTAGTAGCGTGATTAGCGTCACGTCGTGGTCGCTACCAGTGTCAACTCCTCTGAAAGTCCTTGTCTTTGCTTGATTGATGCTACATTTGAACCTTTCTGGAACAAGTATATAATCAGTCTGATTAGGATCATGGTTAAATCTGTAGCATCAATCTGTGCATGCCACGTTGTTCTTCTGGATATTGTGTATTGTGTCCGGGAACAATGTGTTGGCGAGGGTTAGCTCATAATTGTTGGCAAAAAAATCAGTCTTCTTCCCCGATTTTTGTTTTTCCTATCCCAAATCTACCCACAGTATCAGCCCAATTAATCATGCAAATTTGTTCATATTTTCGCGTTTCAATCCTCTAGAATAATTAGATCTTAGTAGTGCACTGAGACGGGGGAAGACTGGAGTGGAAAAGAGGCAGAGGAAGAAGGCAGAGAGAGAAGATGCTGGACGGTTTGACATTATGGCATGGAAGATCATCTGTGTTAGAACGAATAGAAAGTATACGTGTGCATAGCCATGACTACAAAAAGTTGGTAAATGCCAACTGTTTAGCTAGTAATGGCAAGCAAGCTACTAACTGGAAACAGCCAAGAAATGCTTGGACTGTTTTCGACATCAAGTAAAGAATGAGCAATTAACCTTTTTCAGTATCATATATTCACCGCATCATTTCAAGTGAAAATTGATATTTTACTTCACGTATGATACATGTTATATGAAATTTAATTTATTCTAGCCATATACGTCTATTGCAGGTTAATGCTAATATTGTATGGTTCTGGTAATGTATGCACACAAGTGTAACTGCTTAACGACTCTGTATGTCTGGGAATATAAAGATAACTGCACATCACGGGTGTTACTGTGAAATATTTCGTGGTCCATTGGCGCACAGCACCAGTAGATGATAACAGCTGAAAAAGAACTTAAAATACAAATAAATAAACACACACAATATGAAGGGTGCCAACAGACTGGCGTCTTCGATCGATGTGGTAATATACTGAACCGACTTCCGTATACATATGAAAATGCTGACGGAGTGGCACATACAGATCCTAGATGCACAACCTTCCGTTTCATAGGAAATAATCATGGCATTGACCACTGTGGACGATGAGAATTTGCTCTATAAATACAGATATAAAACATTATTTTTGTTTGATCACAAAGTAGTAACCCGTTTTCCCGCTTCACCTAATTGCTGGTCTTATTACGTCACTCTGTTTGCTGATTTCATCTGACGGAAGAATATCTTATTGAAGGCGCACCGGAAACTGGGGTTGAAGATTGTGTAGATGATTGGGTTGAGTAGGCTGTTGAAGTAACCCAGCCACAGACACATGCTAAAGACGTATTCCGGAATGGTACAGTGTGTGCCACATAGAGGTGCGACAACAGCTACGATGAAAAATGGAAGCCAACACACAACAAACGCCCCTGTGATAATCCCTAACACTCGTGCCGCCTTTCTTTCTCGCCTCATCTCCATTTTTTCTCGCCGGTACCTTTCCTTATCACCTCGCCTCTGTCGTTTAGAAATGTTGTTATTGGACACCACACCCTGTTTGGACAGTGCTACGTTAACGGTGCATGCGGGCACAGTCAATGTGTTACTCAACATTCGGGTCAGATTGGAGTCCTGCTCCAGGAGAGATTGCCCATTCTCCCGAACGTCCAGCGGAGACTCCATATCAACCCTAGTCACATCGTTGGCATTTGTACAGGATGGCACGTACATGCTAATACCATCTTGGCTCACATCACTGCCCGATGAATTCCTTGTATTTGTTCTTAGCGAAGGTTCGATGGTAACAACTGGTAACGGCACATGTAATGCGTGCTGCTTTGGTGGACGCCCGCCGAATCGTTTTTTGCGTATCCTATAGCGAGCTGCGCGGTATATTTTAAAGTTGATAATCAGCATAAGTAGTAATGGACAGTAGAAAGCCCCAACGGTGGAGAATATCGTGTAACCGTGATCCTGGGAGATCTGACATTGCCCGGTGTACTGAGGACCATCTGCTTCATCTCTCCAGCCAAACAACGGGGGAATCGATATACATATAGACACCATCCATACAATAGCTACCATGAACAAAATCTGACGCGCACTTCGACTCCGTACATAATCGATGTTGGATACCGCCCAGTAGCGATCGAATGCGATGGCAACAAGATGCAAAATGGAAGCAGTACAACACAAAACGTCCATAGAGATCCACATGTCGCATATGGCATTCCCGAGAAACCAATGAATGCTGATCTCGTTGATGAGACTCAGTGGCATGACAAGCACAGCCACAAGTAGGTCTGTCATTGCTAGCGATAATATCAAATAGTTGGAGACACCTTGCAGAGACTTCTCTACGAGGATGGCAGTACTGACGAATATGTTGCCCAGAATAATTGCTAGGATCATACCTCCAAGCATTACACAGATGCATATCATGAGAGGTTCGCCGTATTTGGGTATGTGTTGATTGAACGGACCTAGATGGGTTGAAATCTCCTCGAGATCGTTACTTTCATTGGTAAATGCGTTATTGAACACAGCGTATGATGCGGACAAATTATAGAGAATCACTTCCTGGGAAAAATTATCCGGTTTTAGCATACTGGCTGTGTTGGTCACACTGGCAGACACATTTTCTATCGTCGATGGATCCTCAATGTTTTGGGCTGTGCCAGGACTTAGTCTGAGTCCTGCGACAAATGAAACATCCTGTTTCGATGAGATAACTTTGGATAATGGCTGTGGCAAGTATGGGATGCCTTTGTTCAATAAAGAATAATTTTGCATTGAAGTTGAATTCTTTCATCAAAAGCAGTGAAGGCTATTTCACTGTATTCCCAAAATAGTAATAGTTTCTGCCATGTAACATCATTGCTATGAAGTATCACAGTTTGGAAGACTTGTACCGAGTGGTACAGATTGGACACAGCGTATACTATTCATGTCAGAATAGTATATTAGTCTGGTGACGAATTTTTCAATTTCGTGTTCATCTCAGCAACGTCATGCATCCTGTGCTCACCGTGGGACATGGCACCTGAAAGATAAATTTAAAAGCATGAGTAAATATTCACATATCATTGTGAAACCAATCATGACAACATCAAATTAATTGAAAAGCCATTTCCTTTACCATTTGACCTTCATAACCCAACACAACAAAACCCTAATGTTCCATCTTTGGCTATTGCTTGTAACTCACACCATATCCTTCTTATCTTTTCACTTCATTCTCTAATCTCCTTCTCTGGTTTAGTTGTTGTCTGTGTTTTTTTTTTAACCTTTGAAAAACAAATACTGTTACAATAACCAATACTGTTACACACCCACCCCATTTTGAAATAGAAAGACAAATTAGAGTACATAAAGGGTGAAAGTATTAGATATAAACCATTTAATTAAAGGTTATCCAAGAATATTAGTGGCGGTCGCTCAACCAATAAAAATTACTAGATTTCACTCACTGAGTTTTAATCTATATTCAGATACTATATCTGTTACGTTTCGATCAATATATTATTCTACGAAAAAAGTAAAGTTTAAAAAACAAAGAGTTCAGGACTCTTTTCACCCTCAGTGGCAAATGGGGTATTTGATGCTAGATATAGTTCTAATAGAGCAATCTGAAAGCGGCGTGTGATGTGGTCATGGGACGCTTTTACTTTTAAAGTCATCACTTCGTACCCATTTTAAGCTAGGTCGACCTGAAAGCCAAGATCATTTTTAAAAAAAATTACTTGATACGAATTTGAACCTAATTCCTTCAGGCCGTTAAGCTTGGCGTCTAGTCACTACGCTACCCGACTCAAACTATACAAGGAGTATCTATTGTACCTTTTGTAGATTTCATAAGTCATTCAGTTCAGGAAAGCACATATGTATGTTTCAGTATGTCACAAAGTCAAAAGCCGAATTTGAATTTTTTGGAAAGTTACTCAATCAAGAGAATATACTTTGTACATTCCTTTTGTCTTCCTATGTCAATATCTGCCAGTCAAAGAAGCCAACGGCGCCTTCTCCATGACAACCAGCAGCATGACGATGGAGGTGATGGCAGTGACGCAAGCGTTTGCCTGGCTTGAAACACAAAAATACACCCGCGTATGTATAGTCAGTGATTCAATGAGTATGATCCGGAGGGTTCAGGCAGGTTCAGTGCGAAGACAAGGGCTTGAATCATTACAGAAGTCCACTGTGCGTGGAGCCACCTTTATTTTTGTTCCGGGACACGCAGGCGTCGATGGGAATGAAAGAGCTGACAGGTTGGCTGGATCCGCTATCACTACCGACGGTCAGCCTATGGATCATGCTGATATTATCAATGCCCTCAGAGAAATGGGAAGAATAGAGGACTTTGATGGCAGTGAATCCACATCACTCGCCAGAATGGCAGACTTGGGAGTTAAGATCGGCACAGCAAAAAACGAGACGCACACCAGACACGCCAGAAGACTTGTTAATCAACATAGAACTGGTACTATTAGCCATCAGACGTTAGGGATTATACTGAGGGGAGGATCTGAGCACCTATGGACATTTCCGGAGTGCAATGATGTTAACCCAACTAACTAACTAACTAACTAACTAACTAACTAACTAACTAACTAACTAACTAACTAACTAACTAACTAACTAACTAACTAACTAACTAACTAACTAACTAACTAACTAACTAACTAACTAACTAACTAACTTCCTATGCCGCTACGCGTCGCAGTTCATCAGACGATGGGTAGCCGAGCTAGGACGCGCGCGGTTGCTTGATATGCCGTATTGTTATGCAGTATCAAGGTGTCAGTGACGCCTTTAATTCATTCTCTTCTTGGTCTTCCCGCGCATCTTGGTGATTCGATTTTCAGGTTGTACGCTCTTGCTGCTATCATCGTTGGTTTCATTCTCATTGGATGGCCAAACCATTTCATTCTTTGTTTCTTAAAAAATTTGACGATGGGTGCTGTTCCAACAGTTCTTGTGATTAGGTCGGTTCTCACTTGATCTTTTCTGGTTTTATTCACAGCCATTCGCATACATCTAATCTCGTGTTTTGTTGTCAATGTGCAAGTCTGACACTGATAACCTAAAGTATTTGTTACATTTCAACAAACAAATTCTTATGCAGTCAAAGACGAGATGAACTGTAGACCTCATCTCCCAGAGCATGCGCTAGTGAGGGTAGCTCAGTCATCCAGGAAGTGATAAAAGATGTGTCATATGGTAGGTTGTAAACGAGGTAAGGATAGTGTAATATTGTAGTCTAAATGATGGTGGTGTTATATCGTGATGTGAAAGAGGTGACAGTGTTGTCATAATGTAGTATAAATGTGGGTGGTGTTGCATCGTAATGTGAAAGAGGTGAGAGCGGTGTCATACTGCAGTCTGAATGTGGGTGGTGTTGTATCGTAATGTGAAAGAGGTGAGAGTGGTGTTATACTGTAGTCGGAATGAGGGTGGTGTTGTATCGTAATGTGAAAGAGGTGAGAGTGTTGTCATACTGTAGTCTGAATGAGGGTGGTGTTAAATCGTTATGTGAAAGAGGTGAGAGTGGTGTCATGCAGTAGTCTGAACCGAGGGAGGTGTCTTATTGTAAATAAACGAGGTGAGGGTGCTTTCATATTGTACACTGAATGCGGTGATGGTTGTATGTTATAAATGTGTGAAAGAGGCGAGGTTGGTGTCTTATTGTAAAGTGTGGAAGTGGTAAGAATGGTGTCACATGGTAATCTGTTCAAGAGGTGAGAGTGGTGTGATATAGCAAAGTATCAGAGAGGTAAAGGTTTGTAAAATGTTGAAGTGTTAAGAAGTAAGAGTGATATCACATGGTAAAGTGTAGAAGAGGTGCGAATGGTGTCACATGGTAAAGGACATTGTCATATGGCGAAGTGTGATAAGAGATAGAGCGTGGTGTCTTATAGTAAAGTGTGTAAGAGGTCAGAAGAGAGAGACAAGGACTGTATTATTTTGTAAATTACGAAATAATTTAGGGCACTGTCATATAATATATTGTAAAAATGTTCACCTTGGTATTGTATAGTAAATGGTGAAAGAGGCGAGGGTGATATCATATGGTATATGGTAAAAAAGATCAGGTATTGTCATACGGTAAGTGATAAAAGAGGTTAGAGTAATGTCTATAATAAAGTACAAACAAAGCAAATTCATTTTTCACGACTGAGTGTGGGCAAGAGGTGAACAAAAATACAGAATACTGTTAATATTGATTCAAAAGGAAAAGCGAGATACCAAGTTAAGGATAAGAGAGCCATGAAGACTGACACGAAGGCTTATCCCAAATCTCCCCAACGGCAAAGGAGTAAACGAACTGGGTTTATCAACGATTCTCCACCATTCACAAGTAAATATAGACATTAGTTGATCGAATTTAGATAGCTGACGTTCTTATTACAAAACCATCTAATTTACTTATGAGTACCTTGGAGTTCTCTCTCTTTCTCTCTCTCTCTCTCTCTCTCTCTCTCTCTCTCTCTCTCGCTCTCTTATACACACACACACCACCCACCCACACACACACCCACCCACACACACACCACCCACGCACCCACACAGACACCCACCCCCACACACAGACACCCACCCACCCACACACACAGACACACACACACCACCCACCCACACACACACATCCACACACACATATATATAATATTTCTGCAATATCTAAGTAGGAACGATGGTCTGGTAGTCACTTGAAAGGTGGCTTTACGTTATGCGGTAATAGTAAGTAAAGGTAGGAGAGGTTGACCAAACAGTTAGAGCGCTGGAGTCACGTTCTGGAGACCTAGTTTAGAATCCATATTAGGATGGAAATTTTTTCAGCATTTGGTAAAACTGAAAAAATAAATCCATCTGCACAGTTTGTGGCGACTGCCATGCGCCCTAGATCCCCAGACTTAAGACATCCTCTTATCATCATCATCATCGTCATCATCATCATCATCATGTAGCAGGTCCTTTGCAAAACATGTGCTCATCATGGTCTTCCTGAAAGAACCTCAGTTTCTCGCCCTGTACCGAGTTACTTCTATCATGCGCCCATCTTCTTAAAGGCTGACCTCTTCCCATTCTTCTAAGACAAGATTTAGATTGTCAATATATCTTTTTTTCCCCACTGTATTTTGAGGTACGTTCTATAGCATTTCAGTCTAAAAGCCAAGTTCTCTTTATTAGGGACTAGATGGGAGGGAGGGGTGGGGGGGGGGGGGGAGGGGGAGGGGAGGGGGGAGGGGAGATTCAGCGACTGAGATTGGTATGTTGCTACAGGAAAGATGCATGCCCTCAAAAAATTTAGTTCCTAGCCATATACGTTTAGTTCTGTTAACTTATTTTGACTTCTGTTGAAGTCTTTAATACTGTTTATTATGGAGCCTAGCTATTTACAGTTAATTTTATTCATAATTTCTTCTTTATTTAATGCTATTATTGTCTATGATTTTACCCTGTCTACCTACATAACTATTAAAAGGGCTAATTACAGTCTGTAAAAACAGATTTAAAAAAGATTTATGTGAACACGTCTGTAAAAACAGTTTAAAAAAATCACGTTAACACCTCTGTAAAAACAATCTTAAAAAAGCTTAAAAAAAAAAAAAAAAAAGGAAATGGTTTCGTAGGAAAATCCGAAAAAGGACAGCAGAAAGGTAAATAAAAAGGTTTCAAAATAACATATGATGCCATAGGCAGAAAAGCAACAGACCGACAACAAGAGAGATCACCTGTGATGGTCTTATGTCGAGCCACATGAAGACGAAACATACAGAGGTGACAAACTG